AGTCCAGCATTACCCTCTTGAAAAGGCCTTTTACATAGAGAGGCCATTTTTTACACCCGCTATATAGCCGCTTGAGCTGCTCGCAGCAGAATTTCAGCTTCTCTCATGCCTGGATCGGGCCCGGTAGATCGCAATGTGTATATGAATAAACAAATGAATAAGCCATAAATAAATAAAAATAAATAAATATACAAAGTGTCATTGAAAATGCATTATAAGAATAAATCTGGTAGCATGTTATGGCAGCCTATTACATTTGATCAATAAGGTTGAGAATACTGAAGTATGTTTCAAGTATGGGCAGAGAGTGAACCACCTACAAGAGGAATAATCGGAAACGGTACGATCACTGGTTTTCCGTAGAATCACGTGTTGCGCGGAATGAGACCCAAGATTCAAACCTAATGACATACTGGTGTGATAAGGTAGCACACAAGCTGACACATACATAGCTCACAACGCAGAACTCAGGCTTACAAACACGGAACCCTTCGGTCAATACATACTAGTACGCTAGGCAGTTGACAAAGTCGTTAGGCGNAATTACAGACGTCGAAACATGGATCTTTTTGAGTGGTCCCTCAGCGATGCCGTTTTGATGACTACTTTTTGGAAGGGAGTCATCAGGGCACTAGCTGATGGATACAACAGGAAAAAGTACCCGCAGGGATCTATTCCGATAGAACTTCATCTCGTTGACTATTCTATCGGTGTTGTGATTGTTATGACAGAAAGTAAATAACACAACAACACCTCATTCAGACGGAATTATAAAGCTGGAGCTTTTCTGTCGGTGTTAACGCAGCCAGAAAACAGCACCGACCAGACAAAGAACGTTTTCATACTAGTATTTCAATTGCTTCACGGTGTTTACACAACAAATTTGGGTATTTACATATAAATACATCCCTTCTATATCCCTCCGTTACAGAATAATATTTACTGCGGAGTATGGTAATTCATCAATAGTGAAGGAATGCTCTTCGTCTCTCATCCCATGCCATGCATGATTGCCAATTGTCGTGCACGGTTGCCCTTACACGCTTCGTTTGGTTACTGTGGAAAAAAGTTTATAGTTAATTAGGGAAACGAATGCGTCATGAAAGCAAGTTGGAAACCAGTAACGACGCCATTAACTAGTTAAGCATTACCTAGTTAGTGACAGAATAATAGCTTTCAATTAAGGCGACATATCTGCTGCAAACAACTGTGATCCCGTAAAGACTGCTAGAATCAAGTTTTTATTAACAGAGGGACGAATTTGTTACCATACTTTCTGAGGCAAGGCAGTTTACAAAAGGAGCAGGCAAAGTAGCAACAAGTAGCGCTGGAAATGGTGATAGGTTTGACATTTCTTCAAAAAGGTACCGCTCCAGAAGGTAAAGTGGGGTGCGGTGCAGTAGGAACGAAATTGTCGTGTCGCGGCGAGAGAGACGCCGCGCGCGATGGAGTGTAGCAGAATGCACAAACAAGTAAGAAATACAGGAACAAAATAACTAACAGTAGAATCATGCCATAAGTAATAATCGCATGTTTGACGCTAACCTGTTTTTCGGACAAAAGGCTGAAAGGTTGCCAGATGCCAATTAGCTACTATTCTTTGAGGAATGACGCTGCTTTGTCTCTTACCAAGTTCTGATTCAGGACTACGAAACCCGGGACCGCTCTTTTATTTTGAAGTTGTTGAGTAGTTTCTACTGAAAACAATATAGGTATCAAGTTGCATGTCGGCTTATATAGGGGCAGATTCACATAACATAAACAGGATTGATTACCGGAGAAGATTGAAGCGTTTCTTACAAACAGAATGGAGAAAGCAGGGTCCCCCATGTCAATGCAACATACCAAATGTCGTGAAGTAAGAGAGAGGTAGGTTTAACAAGAAGGAAATCGAAGCCAGACCAGTTGGCTGTGCCGCTGGCTTTCTTTGAAAAGGCGACTGCACAAAGGAAATGGGAGATAACTCTTTTTTGGCCGAATGAATGAAAATTGTAGGAAATGAATAAAACGAAATTTTTGCTGCGGACAGCCTCTTAACTATTAATAAGTACAATTAAAAAAGGGCTAACGTCGAGGGAAACAGATTCTAGCGTGTCATTCTATCAAGTACAGCTGTACGTCCACCACAGAGACAACTACTTTCGAGCTTTCAAATTTTTTTCTCAAAAAAGAAATTTTTCGCTTTTGAAATCGACAAACGCACGACTTTATCTGGCATTGCTCGGTGTTTTCAGAAATTTCTTCACACAAATTAAGCGACGAGTAGCTTGTACTTGAAAAAATCGTTCTGAACTTTTGCGTATATTTAGTATAATAGTGATGCCCTACTCTCGTCCCGTCCTGTTTAACAACATTCATCAAAGATTCTAAGGAAGATTTCGGTTAATTGCTGCACACTCTACTACTCTGATATAATTCCATGCTTAGACATTCTTGTTAGCTTCAAACGAAGAAAAAGTTCACCTTTGTAAACATTAAGTTGGAATTCGAAACAGCGACAACAGCCTAGGTAACAAGAGAGGACCTGATGAAAAAAAACGAGAAAATTCCCGAAAAAAAAACTAGCTGCTATTTAGGAGCAGCTCTGCATGATCTACGGCTCAACAAAAAACTAAAAACTAGGTGGATTAGTTTCAAAGCTTGAAATCAGATTCACATTGAGCAATTNCGAAGTCTCACAGACATAATGACGGTTAAGGGAAAGAAATTTTCTATTCATTTCAGAGCACAGAAGCCGGATGCAAAACTCCCGAGCCAACTATTTGAAGGTTTTTCAGCGGCGAAATCACAATTATATCTCTTGGAAATTATCGCGCCATAGGAATACGGTACGGCAATACGGTATGACCCAGGTGGCCTACAGTAGCGGCAGTCGACCAATGCACAAATGGGAAGC